CTATCTATCCTATCTATCCTATCTATCCTATCTATCCTATCTATCCTATCTATCCTATCTATCCTATCTATCCTATCTATCCGATCTATCCGATCTATCCGATCTATCCTATCTATCCTATCTATCCTATCTATCCTATCTATCCTATCTATCCTATCTATCCTATCTATCCTATCTATCCTATCTATCCTATCTATCCTATCTATCCTATCTATCCTATCTATCCTATCTATCCTATCTATCATATCTATCATATCTATCATATCTATCTATCTATCTATCTATCTAAATCTATCTATCTATCTATCTATCTATCTGTCTAGCTGTCTACCTGTCTATCTTTTGTGCAGTGTCATTCAGTGTAATGTAGTGTAGTGTAATGTAGTGTAATGTAGTGGAGTGTAGTTGTAGTTGTAGATGGTAGTGGAGTGTAGTGTAGAGTAGTGTCGTGAAGTGTAGCGGCAGGTAGTGTAGTGTAGTGTAATGTAGTGTAGTGTAGTGGAGTCTAGTGTAGTGTAATGTAGTGTAGTGTAAGGTAGTGTAGTGTAGTGGAGTGTAGTTGTGTAGTTTTAGTTGTAGTGTTGTGGAGTGTAGTGTAGTGTAGGGTAGTGTAGTGTAGTTTAATGTTGTGTAGTGGAGTGTAGTGGAGTGTAGTTGGGTAGGTGTAGTTGTATTTGTAGTGTAGTGGAGTGTAGTGTAGTGTAATGTAGTGAAGTGTAGTGTAGAGAGTGTAGTGCAGTGTAATTTAGTGTAGTGGACTGTAGTTGTGTAGTTGTAGTTGTAACCTGTAGTGTTGTGAAGTGTAGTGTAATGTAGTGTAATGTAGTGTAGTGCAGCAAAGTGTAGTGTCATGTAGTGTAGTCGAGTTAAGCGAAGCAACATCTGAACCGCCAAAAGTGGTCCGAAACCCTAGTGTTTTTAACATGTTAACTTCCAAATCTGCTTCGCGCCACAACGGCGTGCACTTTTCGAAACTCGACATCTCAGCCTCCAAAAGTGGTCCGAACATGGTGTGGTTTGTACATTTTGACTTCGAAATGTGCTTCGCGCCACAGCGGCGTGCACTTTTTCGAAACTCGACCTCTGAGCCTCCAAAAGTGGTTCGAACCCCTGGTGTTTTGCACATTTTGACTTCGAAATGTGCTTCGTGCCACAACGGCGTGCACTTTTTCGAAACTCGACCTCTGAGCCTCCAAAAGTGGTCCGAACCCCTAGTGTTTTAACATTTTGACTTGGAAATGTGCTTCGCGCCACAACGGCGTGCACTTTTTCGACATCTTAAGTGCCAAAAGTGGTCCGCACTTGGTGTGTTTTCTACATTTTGACTTGGACATGTGCTTCGCGCCACAACGGTGTGCACTTTTTCGACATCGCAACTTCCAAAAGTGGTCAGACCCTGGTGTGTTTTGTACATTTTGACTTGGGGATGTGCTTCGCGCCACAACGGCGTGCACTTTTTCGACATCTGAAGCGCCAAAAGTGGTCCGATCCTCTGGTGTTTTGTGCATTTTGACTTGGAAATGTGCTTCGCGCCACAACGGCGTGCAATTTTTCATGTCTCATCTCCCCATATGTCTCCGCACCCGCCGCTTTAGCGAGCCTACTTTTCGACCCTCCGGAACCACAAATCATTGGAAAAACACAGTGAATCGCGACTTTCCTACCTTTTCGCGCATCTGCATCTTCTTTCTTCTGACTCTTTCTCTTCTGAACTTTCTCTTCTCTCTGCCTCTGCCCTGCTCTGCTTTTCATCTGTCCATATTGTCGGAAGTTTAGCTTCTCAACTTCCTTCGACAATATAGTTAAAGATATGTATCTATATATATATATACACATAATAATTCCATGATATATATATATACTAAATAATCTCAATATACATATAGATTCGTATATATATATATATGCATACTCTACCCAGCAATTGTGGGATATTGCGCTTTGGCTAGTGGTTGCCGAAGCATAATCGCTGCCCCTTGCTCAGCATATCTAGATCATTTGGTGGATTTTCCGCAAGGGTTCCTCCAAGATATTCTCTTCAACCAAAAGACTTCGCTAATGACATTTCAATATGTTTCATATATATGTATATTCGTATATATATAGTTATCATGTATAATAACTAGAACACCTATAATGACTAGAATTACTATAATAACTAGAACATAATTATCACAACTATATTGAACCCCCCCCTTCGATTCCCCCAAGGTCCGCCTCTAAAGCCGCGTTTGCAAGAAGTCACCCCGCGGGCCCACTTTTTGCACCAAGATTCCAGCACCAGGATAGCCCTAAGTCAGTTGCTTTGGGTACATGCTGGGGTCAAAACACCACGTTTGTGAATCCCACACTGTTCTACACATGTACACACCAGAATCAACCCCATCCGCGTTGCAACAATGTGCTGCCCCCAGTTACACGTTGCCTCGCAAACCCCATAACCTGATATTTATACATATATCTAACTATATGTATGTATTTATATATATATATATGTCTGTGTGTCTGTGTGTGTGTCGTGTCCCCCCTCCCTGAAACCTACCTTTTTGGTACCCGCCCTCGAGTCCAAGCCCAGAAGACTTTTTTCGATATCCGCCCCAACTCCACCCACGTCCGTCCGCAGCAGATATGCCTCGTTCCCTTGCTCTCTTCTCCTGTTCCAACCCACGCCTACCTTTCGATCTTTCACCCTTCCCTCTCAAGTTTTATTTGTGCGGAAAGCAGACGGATTGCGGTTCACAAAGTTTGTGTGCGTTTTTGTTGGAATTCATCAATCCGTGTTTTGATTTCTCTTTTGATGAAGCATGTTGCCGTTGCACGCCATTTTCCCCGTTACGTGCATATTGCTTCAGCGGCAGTTGAACTGAGGTTCCCTAGATGCAACTGTGCGGCTCTGGTATGAAGATGGGACCTCCAGGCAGAGTCATTGTGCCTTGAGAAGGGGATAGGTCGAGACCCATTGTTCGCATATTAGCCTTCGGCATTCCGCCGGCCCCCTGGCCTTTTGCCTACAGGCCCAAAGCAGGGGTTGTGCAAAGCTGGTTGGTGTAAAAGGTTGGTTTGATGATGACAATGATGACAATGATGACGATGATGATGACAATGACGATGATGATGATGATGATGAGGAGGAGGAGGAGATCAGGATCATGATCATGACGATGGTGTAGAAGCTGGGTTGTAAAAGCTGGTTGACGTAAAAGGCTGGTTTGTCGAAAAAGTGGTGCATGTAGAAGCTGGGTTGTAAAAGCTGGTTTTTGTAAACGACTGTAAATGCTGATTTCTGTAAAAGCCAGTTTGTAAAAGTTGGTTGGTGCAAAAGGTGGTTTGCGTAAAAGCTGGTTGGTCGAAAAGTTGGTTTGCGTAGAAGCTGGTGTGTGTAAAAGCTCGCTGGTCTAAGAGCTGGTTGGTGTAAATGGTGGTGTTTGGAAAAGGGAGCTTGTGTAAAAGCTGGTTTGTGTAAAAGCTGGTTGGTGTAAAAGCCGGTTTCTGCAAAAAAGTGGTTGGTGTAAAAGAGTGTTTGTGTCAGAGGTGCAAAAGTTGCTTTGTGTAGAAGCTGGTGTGTTTAAGACCTTGGAGTTTGAACAGAAAGGAGTCAAGTTGGCAGATGATGGCAGGTGCAAGTGGCATGGCTGCGAGAGTCCATGCGGAGAAGGCCGTGAGTGCAGAGGAAGAGCAGGAGTGGCAGGTGCTTATGGAAAGTGTTGGGCGCAAAAGCGCAGGTTAGACCGTATTTCTGCCTGGAACGGGCATCCGAGGGCAAGCCGGAGGAACGAAAGAGAAGACGGGGGAGAATGAAGGGGGACGAAGGAAGAGAACAGCAGAAGAAGAAGGAGACGACGACGACAACGACGACGACGACGACGATGACGACGACGACGACGACGAGGAGGCTGCTGCTGCTGCTGATGATGATGATGATGCTGCTGCTGATGGTGATGGTGGTGATGGTGATGGTGATGAGGATGCTGCTGCTGCTGCTGATGGTGATGGTGGTGATGGTGATGGTGATGAGGATGCTGCTGCTGCTGATGATGATGATGATGATGACGACGATTATGTTGATGACGTTGATGAAGATGATGATGATCATGATGATGATGATGAGGAGGAGGAGGATGATGATGAGGAAGATGATGAGGAGGAGGATGATGATGTAAACAAGGTCAGCGCCATTTAGCTTGAGACAAGAGGCGCGAATAGACCACACTAGACTGTACTAGACTAGTATGTGGGGGAGGCGGGGTGTGGGGGGAAGGGGGAATAGGGCAGCCAAAACACAAATCCGCTGGAGAAACAATCTATAGGTGAAGCTAGAGCTATCACAAGACGTATCACAAGAACATCCACAAAACTCGCCAGCAGGCCGGCGGATTTGGGGGATGACTATTGAAAACATGCGCCAACTAGTTAGGGTTTCACCAGGATGCCAGCATTTTGACCATACCCGTTGAAAGATGTTGAAAGAAGACAAAACGCTACCATGGTCGGCGCAAAACAGTTGAAGCGTCTGCAAATTCTCAACCAGAAACCAGGTTTACCTTGAGCCATCATGAGGACTGCCGCGCTAGCCGCACTTCATTCTGCGGTCCATATATTGGGTCATAATGGCTGCGTTTGAACATGGGGTATATATCCCTCCAGATGGGATAAACATTTGGAATGAGGATATTTAGGGAGACCCATATTCGATTTCCTGTGGCCTGTCCAGGACGGAATCAGCTGCATGATCGAGGTTTGACATGGGCAGTGACGTGCTTTCTGATTGAATGGGACTAGTGGTGGGGGTCAGCAACAAAAGAATGGGTTTGAAACCATCCAACATGGTGAAAAATAGTGGTTCAACCATCCAAAGTGGGGATTTGATCAATCAATGACTGTTCGGTAGTTCCACGTCTGTTTTTTTTTGCCACTCTGCTGGATGCCAATGCAGGCAGCAGAAGACAATCTTCTAGTTGGTTCGCGGGATGGGAAGATCACGCATTGGAATCTCCAGGTGA